CGACTCAAAAACCCGGACGAATGGAGCCAGCACTTTGGCGCAACAATGGACTGCTGCCAACCGTACCTCCGCACAGTCGCATACCAAATGACCCTGAAATATTCCCGGGTAATTGCGAGTGCAAATTTACACACTTCTGCAAATCATATCTAAAAAAATGTTCCAGAAAATGCAATTGTAAATGATAGTCTTCGCTGGATTTTAGAAATTCGCATGTGATCAATGGTGAAAGCAGAAGGGCGGACGCTGATGATGAACAAAGTAATAGAGTAAAGAAGCCAGAGCATGGTCTCGATGAACCAGTCCTTGTCGTGAAGAGATTTTTGACACAGAGGTGACTGCTATCATCATAATGGAAAGTAAAATCGGCCGAACAGGAAATGTAACTTACTCTGTTGATAATCAATGGAAAATGTGCATCGGCCAATGGCACCTATCGGAAGAAAGTCAACTGGGGGCTGGATTTGAAATCATTAAGTAGTTCTACGTGAACAGGGAATATCCTCTCAAAATTCCAGCTTTCTAGCTTTTCCGGTTCCCAAATGTGTATGCTTTATTTATATGATAATTCAGTAGAGTATGCAATAGCAGATAGGTAGTTCAGAGCAGAAGTGCCTGGTTCTCAGTGACAACAAAGCTCTATGTCGATAGTCTGGAGTGCTGTTGATGGGGGAAAAGCGAAAAGTCATGTCATCCCCATATTCTCTAACGCATGCGATACATGTTCAAACGAAGTAATTGTTCAGATATAAGTATGCAAAGCAGGCCCAAAAAGGCTGATTGTGTAGGGAGCTAGCACAGTACTAAAAAAAATTCTACATCGAAAAAAAGCGAAAATTCAGAACCATAGCCCATTTCTTTTATGCAAGGCATGAAAATACCCCCCCCCCCTTCCCAATTAATGATCGATTAATTAATACCTGAGATGCGAAATTACAAGATGCTATTCAGGGAAGTAGTCAAAAAATGCCTTCCTTACATGTGCAATGTAGTTGATGAACATCTGCAACGCATGTCGCTGGAACTCGAAACGGCCAAGCGTCGCTAGAGCAAGGCTGATCAGTGGAACATTAGTGATATGCACCGGTCCGCTAGGCATTGGAGGCTCCGTTGGAGGTGCCAGTTTACTTGGCAGCTTACGATTCATCAACAACTGGCAAAGCTCCTTCAGCATACCATCTTGGGCTTCTGTTTTCAGGCCAGGAATTGACTGGATTATTTCGTAAGCTACATCTGTTAATCCTAAAAATTAGAAATTTTACGGAAAGTAAAACAAAACTAAGTTACGAAATGGCTATTTTAGTACAAATCTAGCGTCGCATTCAGTTTTGTAAAAAGCAGTTTTAGTCCAAATCTAGCATGGTACCATTCTCCTGTACAAAAAACTTCGGGCCAAGGGGAGACGATTCAGCCAAATATTTTCATTTCCCTGGTGCCCTTCTTAGAACTGGTAACTCTCATCCTTCCGTTACCTATATGTCCTATGGCATTCAACTTTAAGTAAAACAGAGCAATCTGGTCAAAACGGATTACAGAAAAAGCAGTCAATGTTGCGGAAGGAGCCGCTTAAGGGGTTGCATAGAATTATGCAGAAAAGAGAAGGCAAAATAGAAAACGAAGAAGTCGCTGGCTGTACTAATGTCTTTGGGAGATGTTAAAAAATCAACTGAGATATTTACTAGTATAAATAATCAAGCCAAAAAAAACAGTTAATCTCCTCGCAAGGGATATTCGTTGTTTGTATTTTTAAAAAATTTCAACAACACAAAAAATAATATCCATAAAAACACTCTCCAGTAATACCTTTTGAT